TATATATATATATATATATATATATATATATAATTTATAATAGATGGTAATACTTATAATATTATTAATTTCTTAGACATATCTATGATTCTTGAAAACAACAGAAAAATAAAAACGGAAATTTATTATAAAGAAACCAATACTCACGACTATTTAAACAACAAAAGCCATCATCCATATCATATAAAAAAGAACATCTTTTATGGCCTTGCTAAAAGAATAATTGTTTTCACATCTGATTACAATAAAGAAAAACAACGTTTAGCAGAACTAAAAACGTGGCTAAAAGAATGCGAATATCCTAATAATATTATTGAAAAACATTTCACAAGCTGGTCCTTGGAACCTATAAGGACCAGCTTCCAAAAATCAATCAAAAGAAATTTTTCTTTTAGTTACAACTTTTTACAGCAATCTGAACTGCCAACCTTTTATTACTGAACAAATCTTTTGCTTAATCTATCTTCAAATGAAAGAGTGAAAGAATTTTTTTTAATGTCCAACCAGTAAATGCGTATAAACAACCACCCAATCTACTGAGAACACTTACTTCTTTAAAAATTCAATCAACCAGTAAAGAAGTAGAATTATTTAAATGTATTGATAATCGTTGTAAAATATGTAAATTCTACCTTCAAGAAGTTAAATCAATTACGACATCAAATGATACTATATGGAACATAAAAAGCTATATTACTTGTAATAGTAAGAATATAATATACTATTTAAAATGTTTGTAATGTAACAAGAAAGCTGCATACACCGGAAAAACAAACAACCTACGACTTTGCACTAATGGGCACATTTCTAGTTGTAGAACTGGGCAATCAACAGATAAATTTGATAACCATGTATATATTTTGTCAACGTCCGCATAACTTCATTATAGAACCTTTTTTCCAGCTTTTTTGTGTTTGTGGAGCTAAAAAATGAAAAAAACCTAATTTCTTATGAGAAGCATTTTCACAACCAAAAACATGATAGTTTTAATTGACATTACAATATAGATTACATTAGTTGCTAATAGCAACATTAAATAATTATCATTTTCTGTTTGTAAAAAAAATTTTATTTTGTTGTTATAATAACAAAATATAATTTTTAAAGTTACTTGTTTATATATATGATTATTGTTTGTAAAATGTATAAAACCAATTTATATAACGTTTTATTCAGAATCGTATGTAATATAAGTAAACTTTTCTAAAATTACAAGCCTTTTTTGCTCAAGCTCAAAGTCATGTTTTGATTCCAAGTGGAAAATTTAAAACTTTAACTTCAGATAGAATTACGTCATCTGATTCTCAGACCATTAAGAGTGATAGTCGAAGCTTATTCGTAAACCGTTAAGGCTACATTTATTTGCATATAGGACTACACTTTGAGGCAAAAAGCTAGAAAAACAAACTAGAAAATAGGTTTTATTTAAATTTAAAAAAAATTTCTTCTATTAAAGAAATATGGAATGTATTTTTCATGGGATATATTCTAACAAATACAAAAACAATTTATTTATTACTATTGTAATAAATACAATCTCTTATCCGTGAAATAATATATCTATACCAGTTTATATATTTTTATGCATTTGTATGCAACAAAATTAGAATTAATCAAAAAATGTAATAAAAGAAAAAAAGCAAAAAAATTGCAAAATAAACTTGACGCATAAACGTTTATTTTGCCACAAACCGACGTCAATGCGCAACATTTTTTTCACTTAAATTTTAGATTAGCGTTTAATATTATTCTTTAGTTAAAATAAAATTAATTAAAAAAAAAAAAAAAAATGAACTTTTTTTTTATGACTATGTTTTAGTGGTTTAAGATATTCTTAGTTCCATTTTTATAGCGTTACATACAAACTTCTTTAAGTACAAACGTCAATTCCTCTAAACAAATTTTAGAATATGCCTATAAAAAAGTGGTTTTCAAAATTTTGAACTAAAATTTGAAAAATGAATTCGAAATGTTATTTGTTTCCCCCATTTGGCTAAAATGTTTCCACTAACATAGGAAAAGTGTTTTAAAAATTGTTCAATAAACATTCCCTGTAACTAATAAATTTCATAAATTTTTTAATTTGAATACAATTAAGTTAGCTGCAGTTGCACAAAAAATATGTAAAGAATTATAAAAGTTCACAATAATGCTTTGTTAAACAAACAAAAAAATCTTAAATAAAAAAACAACAGAAAAGTGTAATAGTAAACAAAAAAACAATCGTCCAATGAGCGGAAATTGTTAATCAAAAAACGTTAAAAGACACCATACTGTCAAAATACATCGGAAAATTAAAAGATAAAAACATTGATGATTTTATACAGAATTGGTCCATCCTTAAAACAACACCTGCATATAACGATATTTCAAAAAAATGCATACTATGCCTTCAAGAAAAACTTGAAAAAATTACACATGCGAACCAAGAATGTTTGTTAAACAAAAAATCAAAACTGATTTCTAAATGCAGGTACGAAAACAAATTTCTCTTTAAAAAACTATAAAAATAAGTGAGTTCAAATAATAGTTACATTACCAAGTGGATACAAGACGTGTTTAAAACATTTATAAAACATAATAAAACGTTTTAAGACGTTTTTTAGACGTCTAAAATAAGTTGTCCCCACTGGGTTTAATCCAATTTTTAATAAATATTTTAAAAAACGGCAGAAGTAATCAATTCTTTTTATAATGGTGTCGGCATATTCCACAAAACGTGTAAAAATTCACAGTAGTTAAGACATTTACAAGATCCTGTAATTTAATTTTTGGTATAAATTGAAGTTTTATTAATTTCTTAATTCATTTCTAATAATGTCTTTATTGGTGAAACATTGTGCTTAATGAAATTTATATATATATATATATATATATATATATATATATATATATATATATATATATATATATATATATATATATATATATATATATATATATATATATATATATATATATATATATATATAAAGGAAATAAAATTAAATAAAAATTAATTCCGAGTAATATTTAATAAAATGTTTAGCCAATATTATATATATATATATATATATATATATATATATATATATATATATATATATATATATATATATATATATATATATATATATATATATACATATATATATATATATATATATATATATATATATATATATATATATATATATAAATGTTGAACCAGCGTGAAAATATAACCATTTTCCAACTCAACAAACGTTTTATCAACATTGGTTTTTAGTTTTTGGCGACGTCGCATTTGTAACCATAATGATTTAAAAACAACGTTGGCAGCCGATGGTGGGACAACGAAACGCGCGACTTTGTTCTACTGTTTTAACAATGTTTGTGTGCTAGCTGGGTATTGCCCAAGCATTCATTGACGTAATGAAACGACATCATTAGTACTACAATGAGAGAACAGTTATTTTTCCCATAGTCAACAAAGACCAAATGCCCGAAATAAGAGAAAGTGTTTCTAAAAAGCTGTTTAACTCTGACTCTAAACAAGATGTTAAAAAGCCAATTTTTCAAGAGCAATACAAATGTCCAAATACTTCTAATCTGTCATCATTTGTAATAGGCATGAGTTGGCTGCTTTTTGAGAACCTTGGATTTGCAAAGAACAAGCTTGAATGGAGTCAAATTAGTGGTATGAAATGGAGGAAATACAGCACTTACAGAAGATTTAAGTACTGGGCTTATAAACTACATGTATTAAATGATCCTGCAAAAAAAGTGCTAAAACTTATTCAAGTTTACTCGAAAGTGTGTGTAAATAAAGCGTTGAAGCAAAATATTCTTCTGTAAATAGACAGCTTAGAGCAAAACATTCACTAAGTACCAAATAAATTTTTATAAACTTGTGAAACAATATTTTAACTAATTATACTGTATAATATTAAAGTGATGAAGTGATTGATTGTGTAATTCGGGTGTTTTTAATAAAAAAAAGCATTAATTAAAAAGAATGAAATGTAAGATTTTCAAACTGTATCTATAAATAAAATTACTATAATATATTGATGGAACAACAAAATGTAGTTGTTTCCTGAAAGTTTCGTTTCAAAAATCGAATAAATAAATGATCAAACTAAGTTGGCGCGTTAGTAGCGTAAAAATAGGAGATTTTAAAAAAAGCCTAAAAACTTCAAAGCACTGGAAGAGGTAGTAAATAAAACTATAAAAAAAAATGTTTATAATTTTCTCTATATACTCATCAAAATGCACCAGAAATCAAAAGACGACCTTCGAAAATAAAAAAAATTTTTGGAAATGGCGGGGGTTATTTATCTCTCTTTCTCTCTCTCTCTCTCTCTCTCTCTCTCTCTCTCTCTCTCTCTCTCTCTCTCTCTCTCTATATATATATATATATATATATATATATATATATATATATATATATATATATATATATATATATATATATATATGAATTTTTATGTATTATTGTTATTACTATTTAATTTTATGGTTTTATTTGTTTATTGATTTTTATTCTTTTTTCAAACTAAAGTTTTATAGTTTTTTTTAACTATTATATATTTTTTTCAATAAAAAATTTGTTTATGTTATTGTTACAAATTATTTTTATTACTTGTTTTTTTTTGACGCTCTCAGTTTAATGTCAGTTTAAAAAATGATAAATAAAATTTTAAAGTGACATAAAACCAATTGTATTTTCAAAAATTGCCTTCAACAAAAGATTGCGTTTTGAAAAACATTGTATTTTTTTTGTGTTATGTACGACTATTTTATCCTGCTACGCCTAAGTTTGATACTTATTTTAATAAATGGAACTTTAATGTTTAAAAGACGTTTAAAAGACATTTAAAACACATTTAGAAGGTAACTTTTAAAAACAAATACCCGTCGGGTAATGTTTATTATTTTAATATTAGTTATATTAGTTTAAAATATTATTGAAAAATAAATATTTTGTTTATTTTCAGGGACAGCTTGGGCATGATGTATTTCTTTAATTTGTTTTATAGATTTTTGGTCTCAATGGAGTGAGTGGTCACAATGCGACACATCTTTTATTATAACTCGAACTCGAAATTGCAGCCAAAATCTATCGTTTTATTGTCCAGGAAATAGTAGTGAGGTTCAATCATGTAGTAATCAAGGTCAGTCAGTTTTTGAAACAGGTTTTTATTTTAAACTTCTTAAAACAATTTTTGTAAAAACTCTTTGGTAACAAAGTACTCAAGAATTTCAAATTTTTATCAAGATTAACAAGTGTTTCCATTTAAATTATTGGAGCTTCATGGAGCTAGAACACTTAAAACTTTTTTTAGTTGTATCTATAGTTTTATCTGTACCAGCATTCTGAGTTCATATTTGTGGTGTACAGTTTGTTCGCAAACTGTACACCTAGGAAGACGGTGTATTAGAACGTATTGTAGTGCCTAGTAACTACTACTAAGATGACATCAAAGTAATAAAAATAATATTTAAATTTAATTAATTTTTTCAAGTTTGATTTTTTTTTTTTTTTTTTGGAAAAAAGACTGTGTTAGTTTTCCATAGTCAGATATTTCTTATAACAATTTCAATTCGATTTTAAATAATTTCTTTACTCCTACACCCATGTGTTTTTGCTTTTTTCAAACCTTTACAATAAATATAATTTTTACTATCAAAAGTCTTACATTAAAACTACAGAAAATAAAAAGTGGTAAATCAAATAGACCTGATCATAATCATCAAAAACTTTTAAAATGATGCTCTGACTTATTGTAAATTAGCACCTGCACCACAAACATGCGTTCCCTATGTAACAAAGTTAAGACCCTTAACCAATTCGTAACAGACACCAGCATTGATATTACCTGTCTAACTGAAATGTGGCTAAGCCCTTACGGCAAGCAGATTATTCTCTCAAAAATCAATAGTAACTACACTTACATAAGCACCAAACGTCAGGAGCGTTTAGGTGGGGGTACTTTTTTAATTGTAAATAAAAAGTATTAAGATAAAACAGAAGAAATAAAAATAACCTTCGACACACAACCTAACTCCCTACCTAACTCAATACCTAAACAAGAAGTTGAACAAACTATTGCTCGTGGATTCTCAAAGCAACTGCCTCGAGGATAATAATTTGTAAAATAATTTGCGATTATACCCAGTATAATAATTTGCTGGATATAATCGTTCCTTCAAACGAAAAACCGGCCCTCATCTAATGATTATTGTCCCATCGCTATTACATTGACATTATGCAAAGTTTTTGAACGCATTATCGCCATTTATTGTCCATCACACCAAGCACATCTGGGTCTTAAACAAACAGTTCAGTTTCCTCCCAGGCCGTAATACAATGGATGCCATTATTCAAGTTATAGAAGACTAGTGTCACGTAAAAAACAATCACAAATCAATCTTTGCAATATTTTTCGATTTTATAAAAAGCGTTTGACCTTGTCGACCACGAAAAACTACTGCTGAAGTTAATAAATATTTTACCAAGCTGGCTTATATCCTGGATTGCAGTTTATTTATATAAAAGACGCCAAAAAGGAAAACAAGTGATCACACCACTGATTGGAAACATCTTTAAGCCGGAGTACTTCAGGGTAGTGTCTTAGGCCCCATTTTTTTCATTCTTTTATCTCGGACATGAACACCCATCTTCCAGCCAAAACCATACTAAAAAAATATGCTGATGGCATCCTGACCTACATTATCTACAATAAAGCTCTTGCCAACTTCCCTTAATCTATCGTTGATGGCATTGAACTCTGGTTTCTGACCAATGGTATGAAGCTTAGTAAGTCAAAATGTAAAATTATTAAAATTAACTCCAGGTGCCCCGTAAGTCATTTTCTACCATCTGTCGTACTTGATAAGACTGAGGTTGAAACTCCAGCTAGAAGTACCTTGTCTCCAGTTAGAAGTACCTTGGTATCATGTTGAATGAGATTCGGACGAGCAATGGGTAAAAGTGCACAACACTATAAAATCAATTCCATTTTTACTCAAGCGCCTTAAGCAAATTGGTCACACGAAATCCAACCTCCTGCAAGTCTAGAGGTTTTACGCTATTAGCCACATGATATATAGTGCTCTAGTTCTTACGTCATGCAGTGTTTACCACATCCATAATCTTTATGTATAATTAAACATTTGTAATTTTTTTTTTATATTTGAATGCATCATGCATGCATGCTATATTATAATATAGCATGCATAAATAATGCATGCAAGTACCTCGAGCACTAAGGTCTTCACGGAAGAGCATTTAATAGGAAGTTCACGCCTCCTTCCCAACCGATGTCGCAAAACTTGCCCAGAGGTGGGGTTTGAACCACGGATCTTACGTTTCTGAGGCAAGTGTGTTAGCACTGCGCCACGGCTGCTTGAATAAGCTACTTATATAAGATAATAATACTCGGCTACTTATTAAAACTTGCTTCTTTTTTTATACATCAAAATTATAACAAACTAAATAAAACTAATATTTTTAAAATTCTAATGTAATTGCATTAAACTAGTAATATTAACTCCAAAGAAATTGAAAAAAAAAAATTTAGATTAGAATAATGCACAAGTATGGATTAATTATATGTTAGTAGTTTCAGTTTATATATTATTAGTATCTATATAAACTTTAAAAAATTAAAATGAAACCTTTGAAAGAATTGTCAAATCAGCACTTTTGCGTTTTTTTGTTATCTGCTAATTATCAATGCCTTCTTCAGTTTCTGATATTTAAAACGTTTGCAATCCTCATAACAATCTGTAAAAAGAATAACACAACATCTCAACCAAAGCAATGACAAATAAATTTAAAAAGTAAATTATTTAACATTTTGTGAATAAAACTTATAATATCGCAAATTAAAATAACAACTCAATAAAATATAAAGCTTTTGGTTCTTCCAACTAAACAGCCTGGCGATATGACATTTTTCTAAAATGTTAACACTAATTAGATTGAAGGTACATCAACACAAAACATTAACTTGTTACTAAACTTGTTAAAAGTGTTTGAAATAAGTTTATTCGTCTAGTTTTTTAGCTTTTTTTGCTGACTTTAGTTTTTCTAATTCCGAAGGATGATATACATATACATACTATATATTTCGACCCAAGCTTAGTAGGTCTTTCATAATACAATAAAATAAATGAAAAACAATGCAATAAATATTTCAATAGCTTTTAGATATAGAGGATAAGATAAAAACAGAACAATTTGAACTCTCTTTTAACTATTTTAAACTTTAAAGACTCGAACCAATCATCAACGTACCTTTAAAATATAACAGGAATTACCATTAATCTAACATTATTTTTTAGGCATTGAGTTTTTACAAATAGCTTTTCATAACTCTGAGCAATTAGATTATGATTAAAAATTAAATATCTGACAGATGTTCAACTAACAGAATCATATCTAAAAGTACAGAGTTGGCACTTTATCTTGTGATTAATAAAAAAATAACTATTAGTTTTAAAAATCACTGCAGTTTTTATTTACAGAATGATCTTTATAAAAATAGCCATTAACCTAAGTATTATTTTAGGAAAGTCCAAGTTTTAAAGGAGTAAAAATGTCACAAAAAATCAATTTACCACTTGCATGTGTACTTGGCTTTTTCCTGCTTTAATTGTTGTTGCAACTGACTGCACTGTATATAAAATATTAAATGAAATTAAACACGCAAAACTAAATTAACAACAAAATATATATTTGCGCGGATTTCAGAAAACTATGTAATATAGCTATATATATTAATGCTTAAACCATGTTAACTTTTCTACTAAAAAGAAAATAAATGATACAATATAATAATCTATCATATCAGATGTAAGTAAATTTAATTTCTCTTTAGTGGTTATCATAAAGGAGTCTGAATATAACTTAAATTTTTAACAATATTTTTTAGTTTACACTAAAAGACTACACTAAAACTGAAGATCCATTATATAGATATTTGAACATCACCATTTTTGATTGGCACTGACTGCACTAAAAGTATAAATATTACAACATAGCTATTCAATCGATATAACATCTTTCATAAACAAATAGATGTTAGGTCTTAATATAAACAAACAATATTTAGTTTTTTAAAAAGTACTTACCACTTAAAATGCATAATTTTTCTCTAACACTTTTAGAGAAAATTTATGCATTTTAAGTGGTAACTATTTTTCTTAATTTTTCTACTTTTAGTACAAGTAGTTAAAAAGTTGGGCCAAAAGTTTCTACTTTTGGCCCAACGTATTTTTGATTGTTGGACTAACGAGGCGTTTTGGTAGGCCGTAAGTTGGCGTCGTGCTGGCATATGGTTGGCTGCCCATCGTTCCTACGTTGGCGTAACATACACTTAATATTGTTGGCGCAACGTTGGCCCACTTTTGGTTTTAAATTGTTGGCGCAACGTTGGCCGAACCAAGTAAAACAGTTGGCGACACGTTGGCATAACGCATTTCGTATAATGTTGACTTTACATTGGCGCACCGTTGGTATGGGTTTGTAGGGGCTATGTTGGCGTAAAAATGTTTAAAGGCTGGAATCGCGTTGGCATATGATCGGCCGCCCATCGGGCCTATGTCGGCATCGTGTATACTCAATGTTGTTGGCATTGCGTTGGCACACTGTTAGTTTTATATTGTATTTGCATTTGTGCATTTTATTAACGTTGGCCTAAGACTTCAAGCATTTTTTCCAACAATGTCAGAAACGCGTTGTGTGACGACTGGGATAATTTAATACTCATTTAACTAACGTTATTATGAAAGTTGAAAATGTAAAAGTATTTAAAGTTACATAAAAGTATTAAAGTTAATAAATTTGATGGTTTCTAATTTAAATGTTTATTTGTTACAAAATGATTTAAACTGTTACACACATACAAAAAAATCATAAACTATATATAAAACTATATAACTAAAACCGTTAAAATGATGTTTCTTCTCCTCCCACCATACGAATTACGCGAATCGAAGCCATGCTTTAATGGCAGAAGCAACCTTGCATCCGTACCGCGACATGTTGTAGGATTACGCCGAACAGCATCTAAATAAAATAAACATGTATTAAGCACACACACTTATAAGTTTTAACTATAAACTCATTTACTTTCATTTATATAAAACGATAAAAACTATAAGTAAATACTTAAAAAAAATATATTAATAAACAAAACATCAATTGTAAGATGAAATAATGACATTTCAAAATAAAACAAAATTAACGCACTATTTATAATTTGACAAAGCTTGCTATTGCCAAAGGCATATTTCCCCTCCCAATTACTAACTACTGCTAAGTTGTTTGATATTAGCCGCTTAATAACATTTTTATTTGATTCAGTGATACTTTTTCCGCCACACCAGGGTTCGCAAAAACCCGGATTTTTGAAAAAAAAACTGGCTTAGTGTTTTTTAGGGTTTTATTGGGTAAACTTGGGTTTTTTGGGTTTTATTTTTATTTCGTCTGTGTAAAAATGTTTTTTTTTTTCAATGATATTAAAAAAAAAAAAAAACTAAATGAAATTTTTTACTTTAATTTTATTTAAAATATATTTATATATTGTTATTTAATAATTTATAATAACTTTTCAAATTAATTTCAAAAAGATTTTTAAATACAATTTAAAACTATAATAGAAAAAAAATATTTTGCGTTAAATCTATATGTATTGGTTTAATTTAAACTTAAAATTATTATTCTATGTAATTAAAAATGTCAATGAGAAATGGGAAAAAGAAGGCTATAGAATATGAGGTAGTAACTAAAGTTTCAATTAAAATTTGAACTTGAAATTTAAATGAACGAACTTGTTTCTTCGCGCTATGGCTTTGTTTATAAAAAATTGTGTTTAGGAGTTAAAGAGTTTAAAAGGACAACCACAAGGTAGCCTCTTTGACTGTAGTGGCTTTTTCTGGCCACTAATACTCATTTAAATTCACTTAGGGAGGTGAATAACTTAAAAGATTAAAAAATCTCAACTCATGAAAATATTTTAATAAAAATTGTTATAATGTATTTTCAAGTAATGATTCAAATATTAGTCTGATAGCTGTTATTGTTGGTTATAATAGTTAATAATTTTATTTAATAACAATTTAGTTAATAATAATTAATAATTATGTTAGTTAATAATATTATAGTTAATAATATTAAAGTTGGTTATAACAGTTCATAAATTTATTAAATATCTTTAAAAAACTCAATAACACTCAGATTTTACCGGGTTTTATTAGGTTTTTTTAGGCAGGTTTTTTTGGGTGGATTTTTTTAAGCAGTTTTTTTAATGCCAAACCTGCGCCACACTGACCTAAATAACTAAAGGGATTAAAGAAGGTCTAAAAGGAAAAAAACAATTTTAAAAGATATTATTTAGTATGTAATAAATTTTAAGTAACTTGAATAAGGGAACTAAACAACTATAACAAATATCTTACAAACTATCCTCGGAGGTCATTGTAAAGGCAATCTGTTTCTAGTTTTTGTAAATGTTCCATTAATGAAACAAGAAGCCCAAACTCATCAAAACTTGTTTTATATTACCACGCTACTGTTGTGCTGAGAATTGTTGCAGAAGAAAAATTATAATTTGATTATTTTGTTTAATTTCTTCTAATAATATTAGTTTTCGATGATCATTTCCTAAATGCGAAGAAAAATAAAATAAATATATATTTTTTAAATACAAATAATAATACTTTAATAAAGATAAAAGTAATAATAGTAAGAAAACATTTTCTATATATATTAAGTTCATATGAACAAACAAACAAATTCATCATTTGCTAATGCATAAATAAATGAAACACACCTCCAACATGACAATTGATCAAATCAGGTGATAACTGCTCTACTTGCAGTGCTATAGTAAGCACTGGCGTTAATATTGATGATGGTAGTGTAGTTTGGTTGTCTATTTAAATATTTAAGCTTATTTTTACAAGCACATATATACAAACAGACAGTTTGCAAATCATAATTTAAACTTTAAAAATTGTAAAACTTTCAAGTTAAAAAAAAAAGTGTTAACCAACCTTTTTTACTAAAAGATAAACCGTTTAAAAATAATGACGAGAGAGAGCAGTAGATCATGCATTTTGAAGAAGCCCATTTTAAATTTCTATGTACAAATAATGCATTATAAACATATTTATAATATCAAATTTTTTTCAAAACAAAATATAGTATAATATAAAAACATATTTTATTTTTTTAAATGTCATTAAAGGACAATTATAATCATTAATGTTAAGAATGTTGATGGATCATTAATGATCTGTAAAATATTTATTAAAATGCAAAAATCTAACCGGATTGCAACTGAGGAGGAGTAGGAAACTTTAGGTTTGAGGTTGAAATTGATACCGAAAAACTTTCCATTTTCAGACTTTGTTTAATCGGAATCTGAGTCACACAATTCATTCCATAAATACATGTATACATATATATATATATATATATATATATATATATATATATATATATATATATATATATATATATATATATATATATATATATATATATATATATATATATATATATACATATATATATATATATAAATGTATAATTTTATTTTGAATTTTTTTGAACAAATAAAACTGGTAATGACCTAAATTAGCTTTTTAGCCCTTTTTATTTCAGAGACTACTGTTGTGTTATAGGGTTATTATGTTTTGGATTTATTTTATCTATTGAAAAAACAAACTTTTATATTAACAATAGATAAATTTTATATTACCAATAGATAAAATGAACATCATAACATAGAATATTGTTACACATAGCATAATTTTAATCATCGTGTTAACAATTTACTGAAATAATCAAATAAATTGAAGTTAGAATAAAAAAAATTAACCTTTTCGCTTTTCTTTTTTTTGCTTTAATATCTGATTCTGTTGGAAGTTCTGAGCAGTCCTCTGCAATATCCGACTTGGAATTAGCAATTTCACATGTGCTTTTAAGATAATAAAAATTAAAACTGAACTTTTTTGAACAAATAAGCTAAGTTTAAAACCATTAAACGTAAATAAAGCCTACTGTAAGAATGCAGCACTCTAACAAAAAATAGTTTCCAAATAGATTTGGGAGGTTCAGCAGATTTTACTGCTTTATTGATTTTAAGGTCAGAAGTATACAACAGCCATAAACAAATACACTTTTTAAATAAAACTTTGCAATAAAACGCTACATACAAAGAAACATTTTTTGTTTATGTTTTACACAAAATACATTTAATTTTTTAAATTAATCTTACGAGCCTTCTTATCACCAAAATCTTTGATTAGGGTTGAAAAATCAAGATTTTCAGCAATATTCTTTTCAATCGATAGGGTTCCTAAACTGGAAAGTCTATCCTGCGACATTGTTGACCGCAGATAGGTTTTGATTAGTTTCATTTTGGAAAAGCTTCTTTCTCCACTCTCTACAGTGACAGGTATTGTTAGCAAAATTAGCATTGCAATCCATGTGTTTTGATACAAATCTTGCATTTTGTGCTGTTTTATAAAGTTTAAAACAATAATAGGAGTAATTTTATCCTTGACCATTTCAAAAAGAAAAGGTTTAATGGTCATCAGTTCATCGCAAAGGAGAATACTATTAATGTCCGATTTTAGATTTACGGTAAGTTTACTTTGAAGAGCTAAACATGATTTTAGAATTTCTTCTCTTTTTTGCAAACTATCAACATTATACAAAAATCCCAAACTTCTGAATAATTCTCCAACTGTATAAATCTTTCTCTCATTGAAATTAAAGATGTGTCTAAAAGAGGATTGAAGAAATCGATTTCTAATTTTTTCAGGAGAAAATAAATAAATCCCATCTTGGGCTGGTTCGTCAAAATGGCGTTTCACTCGTATTATTCTTTTAAGTGGTTTAAAAACAGGCTCCACTTGTAATTCTATAGCCGAATCCATTGCTTTTATAATTGCATCTTTAAAACCACATTTTCTATAGTTTTCTCAAAATGAACAACAGCTTTTCAATAACTTTGCACATTGAGTAATGTCCATTTCTTTTTCTTGAAGAGTTTTACTAACAATATTGACTTGAAAAAGAACGTCATACCAGATAATTAAAGAGACAAGAAAGCTAAAATCTTTTAATGGCTCTCCTAGAGTTATCGCTTCATGTGCAGTTTCAGGATTACATCCTTCAAAATCCGACAATGCTATCATAGCGTCATGTACATCACCAACTTGATAACGAACGGCTTTAACACTACTTATTTTTACTTCTCACCGCGTGTCGCAGAGTTTCTTTAAATGCAAAATTTTAACATGATCAATTAAAATTTTCCATCGGCTCACTGACTGAGAATAGAGTAAACAATCTCTGAAGAATACCGAAAAAAGCTATAGATTTTACTGAAGACCGTGCAGAGTCACTTATTACCAAATTTAAGCTATGGTTGCCGCAAGGAACATATAATGCTAAAGGATTAAGATTTAAAATCCTTTTTTGTACACCATTAATCTTTCCTTTCATATTTGATCCATTATCATACCCTTGACCTCTGCAGTTAGAAATTTCAAGTCCATGCTTAGTTAGCAACTCGATTAAAGCCTCAGTTAGTCCTAGGCCTGTAGAATCAGAAACAGAAAAGAATCCTAAAAGTACTCTTTAATTTCTTTAATTAAGTCAACAATTCGAATAGTAAGAGAAAGTTGTTCTTTTCTAGAAATATCAGGTGTACAATCAGCAATGATTGAATAGTAAACGGCTTTCATGACTCGGTTTATTATTTCATCATTAACCTTTTGAGACATTAAATCTATTAACTCATTTTGAATATTTTTCCCGCAATAATGGTCTGAAGTGTCACCTTATATTGCAAGTGCTAAATGCTTTTGCATTACAGGATCAAATTTTGCAAGCATCTGTATTAGTCCTAAGAATTTGCCGTTTTGAGGCGTAAACAGTTTATCCAAACTCCCTCGAAAAGCCATATTATTTTCACCTAGGTAAAGAGTGATATTCATCAGCCGAAGAAGAACATTTTGCCATCGCAAACTGTCTTTTTCTATAATTTTAATTTCTTCATTATCTATAGTTTTTCCAGTTTTTAATCTTATTCAGTTTCTACCCACTGTTGATACCATTTCATATGAGAGACGCTGTTTTCATGAATTGCCAATGTTTCAGTTAAATGTCTCCATTTCTTGAAACCATCAGAGACTAAGTTTGACTTTGAATTATTATCAAAAAGTAGACAGCAAAAACAAAATACGGAGTTTTAGAATCTGAATAAACCAACCATCTACGGCGAAAGGTTTCTCCATTCGCAAGCTTTCTATTGTAATAAATGCTAGAAAAATGTCGACCATTTCTATCTTCAGGGTATTTTTCCTTTGTAATTTGAAAAGGACCAAGTTTGATTAAATGGTCCACAAAGTTGCTAGATCGAACAATTGGCCAATTTCCACAATCCAATAAATTAGGTGTTTCTTGTAAAAAATCTTCCGATAAATCATTCGATTCTTTTAAAATAACTGGTTCATTATCTACTTCAATTTACAATGAAGTTATACAACTATTTTTGAGTAATGTTGAAGGTTCTCCAATTTTATTGGTCATAGAGATAGTCGTAGAGATAGTTGAAGCATCAGGGTTAAAATCTTCACGACCTTCGTCAGGTTTTTTATAAGCAACATATTTTTCAATGCTCATGAATTTTTTAATTTTTTCAAATTTTTGATCTTTAACGGACTTTCTTTTTCTGTACTCATAACCAGACAACTTTTTTCTCGAATTTGAAATTTTATGTGACATGAGACAGAATATTTTTTAAGATAAAATTATTTCTACAATTTAAAAAAAAAAAAAAATTAACAAAGTTTTCAAACAAATTCATAAAATTATTAAAGAAATAAAAAAAAAAGTAACTAAACTTACTGAAAATTGTTTGAATCGAGTCAACTTAACATTTAATATATAAAAAAAAAAAACTTTTGAACTTCTTTATAAAAAATCTTTTGCAACTTTTCGAAATGACTCCTAGAGGAAATAACGCACAAATGATACTACAAATTACAATAGAAAATCGAGCGTATTAATTAAGTAAATGTAGTAATTTTTTGTCTTTAAATTTAAAATCGTGTTTTTTTTGCAAAGGTCGTTAAATCTTTTAATTTACTTTAAATTTTTATTATACTACTAGAAAATTAAAACTTGTGACTAATAAAATTCTCCGCCCCTATTTACTTGCCGCCCTCGTGCAACGCACGACCTCGCCCCCCTAAAAGCAGGCGCTATATATATATATATATATATATATATATATATATATATATATATATATATATATATATATATATATATATATATATATATATATATATATATTTATATATTATTATTATTATTACTAGCTGGGGAGACCCGTAAAATACGGGTCTTTACCGAACCGACCATTTTTATACTTATCTATAGCTATCCGGATGTAAACTAAGGGTCTTAGTAAATCAAAAAGTAAGTATAGTTTTTTATATGTACATTTTTAAACGGTTTTAAAAAAATATTGAGGTAAGGAATAAGTATAGAAAAGGTCAGTGTGGAATAAAAACATTCCACACCGACCTTTTCTATACTTATTCCTTACCTCAATATTTTTTTAAAACCGTTTAAAAATGTACATATAAAAAACTATACTTACTTTTTGATATGACAAAAACATTTCTGTTAAAATGTTCTTTTAAAAACTTCAAACGATTTTAATATTATGCCGATTATAAAAATTTTAATAAGAAAAAACGTAAAAAAGACTACGAACTTAGAAAAATGCTAAAACATTCAACACGTGACGCCGTTAAAGTACGCCTTAGTTAACGTTCATAACATATACACATCTAATTAGATTTTATTTAAATTCAGTTGTTGCAAACTTGGTTTTGAATTTTTAATTACACTTCTTATGCGTCATAAATAATCTTAAATTCTAAATAGAAAATACGTTTATGGGCTAATTGGTAGACGCGCAACACTTAGACAGATATAGTCATCTCACCCCGGGAGTTCATACTCCTGTGACCTTTTTTTTTCATCCCAACTTACAACAAAAGTAATTAAAAATAAATGTTATTATTGAAACAGTTTTAAACATTTCTTCCTATTTATCTTTGAACTTAACTTTATTCACTGCAAACATACTTTTGGTGTTTGTAAGCGTTATTTTACGTTTAGTATTTGTAGGAATTATTTGCACGCACGTATTTTAAACAATTATTTTTACTGTTTCATCTAAAAATCTTATTTAATTTAGTTTAATAATTTCTTAAATATAATATATATAATATAATTTAAAATATTTTATTAACCCTATTTAAATAAGTATCAAAACTCTTTTCTTTAATTTAAAAAGAATTTAAAATTAACGTAGGCTATAACGATATTTTACCCTTTCATCAACATTTATTTAAAAAGTAAATTTGGATATAGAAAAACGGGTTAAAGACTTATTTTTTTAAATAAGTTAGCTTTATCTATTTAATGCTTTTCGTAAAAGCGTTTCTTTAAAGACTCTTAACAAATCATTTAAGCTGTTTTTACTGCCTAAGTTATTAAACCTGTTGTGTGTGCCAAAAATCGATACTTAATGCAAATGGAAACTTCGAGTGCTAATGGTGATTAAAGCATAAATGGTTCCTATTCATATATAATAAAAGGAAATATAAAAGACAAAGCAAAAATGATTTTTATATCCATTTAAAACAATAAATCCCAAAATAAAAAAATATAGATATTTACTTAAAAACATATTTTTCTTGATATAAAATAAAAATATAACCTTTAGTACAAATTACAAAAAAAAATTTTATTCAACAGAGCTACTTATAATACAATTTAAATTGAATCATTGTTTCATAAATATTAAGCTTTAGGTAAGCCATAATCAAGTCAGCTATAAGAAACGGAACTAAAAATGGAACAAAGTTATTTAAACGCATAATCATACACATTAATTACAAAATAACATGTCATGCAATCAATACTTTTGAAAACTCAAAAATGCGAATAAGAAACTTACTTTTTTATTTTTACATAACCCTGACAGACCAACATGAATGTGAGCTAAATCTATTTGCATAAAACATCACAACAATTAATTAAATAGCAGAACCACCTTTAAAGGACAAAAAAATTAGTTTTTTAAGGAAAATTAGAGTTATTGGGAGGGGAGGTATTAATAAATAAAAAAGCTCAACTTGAATTTCAAAATTATTTCATAGTTTTGTTAAGGGTTATTGAGTTATTCTGAGTTTATTATACATATTTTAAACTACTAACACCACACACTTATATTCTTAGTTCTGGAAGGTGCTACATAGAATTTGATTGTGTGAAAACCAAAAAATATTGTTGAGATTAACATTAACTTTATTAAATGTATGACCGTGACTTTTATTTCTAGTTAATGAGCATTGTTGATAAAGGTGTCTTTATTTAAATGATTTACTTTGATAACATTTAACATTCATGGGAAAAATTAAAAAACAACACAAAAATAAATTTACAAAAATATATTACAAAAAAAAATGAAGTGGCTCAAAAGTTGTCAATTTCTTTACATTTTAAAATGTAAAAAAAATTATTGACAACTTTTGAGCCACGTTGTCTTCTCCTCCCAGCATCCGCTCTATTCCCCGTGTTGTATGGGGTGCCATGCCTCCATCTAAAGGAGGGATGGTCGTCCCCATACAAACACCAGCGATGGAAGGCCCTCATAGAGCAATACTTTCGGAAATCTTCCCATGACTTCGAGCCTGAAAAAAAATATATATATAAATACAACTATCTACCTAGGTAATACTTACAAAAAATCTACTGTAAAAAAACAATAAAAGCAAATAATGTAATAAATTAAGTACAAGTGAGCACAACAACTTATTTATTTTACTCACTAATACTTGACTTATTACATTAACTAATTAAACTGGAAAGCACATTTGTAGCTATATTAAAAAGCAAAAGGTACAATAAAAGCAATCAATCAATGTAATAAGTCAAGTAAAGGTGAATATAACAACTTAATTGTAACAGAAGAAGCAGCAGCTAGAGATAAATAAAAGAAAGTTAAAAATGCAATAAAACAAATTAATCCATAAATTAAGTCAAGTATAAGTGAATAGAACAACTTACTTGTAACAGAAGAAGCAGCAGCTAGAGATAAATAAAAGAAAATTAAAAATGCAATAAAAACAATCAATCAATGTAATAAGTTAAGTAAAAGTGACTTACTTGTAACAGAAGAAGCAGCAGCTAGAGATAAATAAAAGAAAGTTAAAAATGCAATAAAACCAATTAATCCATAAATTAAGTCAAGTATAAGTGAATAGAACAACTTACTTGTAGCAGAAGAAGCAGCAGCTAGAGATAAATAAAAGAAAATTAAAAATGCAATAAAAACAATCAATGAGCCGGGGCTCATCTCTTTCAATTCGACAACGATTTATCTCAGCTCGCCGGGGCTCATCTCTTTTAATTCGACGACGATTTATCTCAGCTCGCCGGGGCTCATCTCTTTCAATTCGACGACGATTTATCTCAGCTCGCCTGGGCTCATCTCTTTCAATTCGACGACGATTTATCTCAGCTCGCCTGGGCTCATCTCTTTCATTTCGACGGTGGTTTATCTCAGCTCGCCTAGCCTGCCTTCTTTTATTTTGACGAAGTCTAATAATTTCATTTCTTAAATTATTAGACATAATTAGGCATCAAAGGAGTGTGTAAAAATGATGCCTAATATAATAAAAGTTGAAGTTTCTTTTTTAAACTTATCTAAAATAAAGTGTAAGCAAATAATACAGAGCATAATACTATAATCTATTATATTCTACCATATATAGCATTGTGTTAAGATAACATAGTTTTATTAAAAACTTAAACTAAAGTTATAAATTAATATAATATTTTCAACTAAGTATTGTTTATATATTTATGGTAGTTGTTATTAATTATTGACAAAATATTATAAGTATTTAATCAAAAAAACAAACAAAAAAAAAATGTAATTTAAAAAACAAATTTTTTACATAAAAGAACTCATAAATAAAGCAAATTAAAAAAATTTAAGGCCTGTCAACTCAGCAAGTACTGCTAGCATGGAAGGATAAAATGTAATCATCCATCAACAAAACCCTTTCATTACTTTGAAAGGCATTTAACGCAAGATTTGCAATAAATAAATACAAAACTACTAAAAGAACCTCTATAAACAATCATATATTTGCTTCAAGTGAAGAAACTTGGAAATATTGAAACTTCTTTTACTATTTTAGTTTTTTTTTTTAGATATTTAATATTCTAAAGAAAAAGGGACAATAATTTAAGGCAAAAAAATTAAAATGTCTATACATATAATATATGTATAGACATTTTAATTCTATATATTTTATTGTGTGTGTGTGTCTATATATATACACACACATATATATATATATATATATATATATATATATATATATATATATATATATATATATATATATATATATATATATATATATATATATATATATATATATATTGATGTACATACAAAACATTAAAATAATAATATAAAGAAAACATTCTCTATACAAAAAATCCTAAAAATTTAACAAAAGTTATTAAAACTTATGCTTTAACACGCTGTATACTTTTATATATATAAAAAAAATTTGAGTTAAACATATTTAATGAAGAAAATCGAAACTCTTAAAAATTTTAATGAGGAGGAGCTGTTAGTAAAGCCTGCTTTTTAACAAAATTTATTTATTGTCAAAAGCATACATTGTTAAGAACAGTGGATAACAATATTAAAACACATTTTTTCAA